TGAGGCTGAGGCTGAAGCAGGCTGAGGCTGAGGCTGAGCAGGCTGATGCTGAGGCAGGCTGAGGCTGAGGCTGAGGCTGATGCAGGCTGTGGCTGAGGCAGGCTGAGGCTGAGGCTGAGGCCAAGGCTCAAGGCAGACTGAGGCTTTGGCTGAAGCAGGCTGAGGCTGAGGCTGAGGCTGAGGCTGAGGCAGGCTGAGGCTGAGGCTGAAGCAGGCTGATGCTGAGGCAGGCTGAGGCTGAGGCTGAGGCTGAGGCTGAAGCAGGCTGAGGCTGAGGCAGAGGCAGGCTGAGGCTGAGGCTGAGGCAGGCTCAGGCTGAGGCAGGCTGAGGCTGAGGCCGAGGTTGCAGGCAGACTGAGGCTGAGGCTGAAGCAGGCTGGCTGAGGCTGAGGCTGAGGCAGGCTGATGCTGAGGCAGGCTGAGGCTGAGGCTGAGGCTGATGCAGGCTGAGGCTGAGGCAGGCTGAGGCTGAGGCCGAGGCTGAAGGCAGACTGAGGCTGAGGCTGAAGCAGGATGAGGCTGAGGCTGAGGCAGGCTGAGGCTGAGGGTGAGGCAGGCTGATGCTGAGGCAGGCTGAGGCTGAGGCTGAGGCTGATGCAGGCTGAGGCTGAGGCAGGCTGAGGCTGAGGCCGAGGCTGAAGGCAGACTGAGGCTGAGGCTGAAGCAGGCTGAGGCTGAGGCTGAGGCAGGCTGAGGCTGAGGCAGGCTGAGGCTGAGGCTGAGGCATGCTGAGGCTGAGGCAGGCTGAGGGTGAGGCTGAGGCTGATGCAGGCTGAGGCTGAGGCAGGCTGAGGCTGAGGCCGAGGCTGAAGGCAGACTGAGGCTGAGGCTGAAGCAGGCTGAGGCTGAGGCTGAGGCAGGCTGAGGCTGAGGCTGAGGCAGGCTGATGCTGAGGCAGGCTGAGGCTGAGGCTGAGGCTGATGCAGGCTGAGGCTGAGGCAGGCTGAGGCTGAGGCCGAGGCTGAAGGCAGACTGAGGCTGAGGCTGAAGCAGCTGAGGCTGAGGCAGGCTGAGGCTGAGGCTGAGGCAGGCTGATGCTGAGGCAGGCTGAGGCTGAGGCTGAGGCTGAGGCTGAGGCAGGCTGAGGCTGAGGCAGGCTGAGGCTGAGGCGAGGCTGAGGCTGAGGCTGAGGCTGGGCAGGCTGAGGCTGAGGACTGAGGCCTGAGGCCGAGGCTGAGGCCGAGGCTGAAGGCAGACTGATGCTGAGGCTGAAGCAGGCTGAGGCTGAGGCTGAGGCAGGCTGAGGCTGAGGCAGGCTGAGGCTGAGGCTGAGGCAGGCTGAGGCTGTGACTGTGACTGTGACTGCCGTTGCCACTGCGACTGTCATCGCGAACAGCAGAATTCTACAACTGGATTCTCATCCGAATCTTAAGGGGAATGCTTCCAGATATGCTCCTACACATCGATGTTAGGTTGCTTTGCCGGGATAATTTAGTTTTCCGCATTGGAAGCCAGATCTTTCCGGCCGTCGGGCCGTTGCGATGTGGGGGCAGGCGGAGGAAGGGAGGAGAGAGGGAAGGGGAGGGGAGGGGAAGAGGGGAGGGGAGGGAGGGGAGGGGAATCACCCAGCCGCCCTCCAGCGACTCATCCAGTCCCGCCCAGCACTTGCTGGGCAGGGGGGCCGAGGGACTGCCAGAGGGTGTCGTGGGCTCCGCCGCATCGGGCTTCCAGTTGTCTGGCTCTTGGGTGCCTGGCTTCTTGCTGTCTAGCTCCTGAGTGTTCGGCTTCTTGATGCCCGACTCCTTGATGTCCGACTCCTTGACGTCGGGCTCATTGATGTCACTCTCCAGAGTGTCTGTCTGGCTCACTGATGTCCAGTTGCTGGATGTCCGACTTCGTGGTTCCTCATGTCCAGTTTCGAAATCATGCCCGGTTCCTGGATGTCCAGTTCCGATCGATGTCCGATTCTTTGATGTCCAGTTCCTTGATGTCCAGCTCCTGGGTGGCCGGCTCCTCGATGTCCAGCTCCTGGGTGTTCTGTTTCTTGAGTTCACAATCCTCCATGGTTGGCTCCTTGATGCCCCGGGTCCTGGGTGCCCAGCTGCTCGATGTCCGGCCACTGGACGGCGGGCTCCTTGGTGTCCAGCTCCGAGTCGATGTCCGGGTTCTGGGTGACCCGCTCCTCGATGTTCGGGGGTCCCCTAACGGGGTGGTGATCACACCGTGCGGTGGGTCGGTGAGGATTTGGGGTCACCGCACGGTTTTGGGACTCGGGTCGTTCTCCGAGGATGCCTTGGGCGACAGGGGCCTCCAGGGTCCCCAAATTCGAGCTGTGACGAACCGTGCGGTGAGTTCTTGGGGGATTTCGAGGTCACCGCACGGTCCGTCACCGCACCGCTTCGGGATTCCAAAGATGTCCAGCTCCTGGGTGTTCGGCTCCTCGGCGCCCGACATCTTGATGTCCGGCTCCCCGGTGGCGGGCTCCCGGGCGGCGGGCCTCTTTGGCGTCTGGCACCGCCTGCATAGGTGCGTCTCGCGGACGTGTGCGGCGCCTGGGTGCCTGTTTCCGAGGCTATGCCTCCTCTCGGCCTCGCTCTGAGGCTCCGCCGCTTCCTCCCTCCTCTTCTCTGCCTAATTCTTTACGCTTCGCGTATCCCCACCAGCCCATCTCACAGCAGCAACTCTTGCGAAGCATGCCGACAGTCGTGTTTTTCAAGCGTGCGTCCGCTTGGGCCCGCATATCTCCCCTGTTCCTCCTTCCTCCCGCCTCCTTGTACATCCTCCTTGTGGGGGGAGCGGGAGAAGGACGAGGCGGAGGAGGAGGGAGAGAAAGCGCTCCTCGTGATTTGAGTCGTTTGGGGTTTCTCGTCCTGGTGTGAGTCGTTCGGGCCCTTCTTCCTGGTGTGAGTCGTTCGGGCTCTTCGTGGTGTGAGTCGTTCGGGCTCTTCGTCCTGGTGTGAGTCGTTCGGGCTTCTCGTGGTGTGAGTTGTTCGGGCCCCTCATCCTGGTGTGAGTCGTTCGGGCCCCTCCTCCTGGTGTGACTCGTTCGGGCTCCTCGTGGTGTGAGTCGTTCGGGGCCCGCGTCGTGGTGTGAGTCGTTCGGGCTCCTCGTGGTGTGAGTCGTTCGGGCGCCTCGTCCTGGTGTGAGTCGTTCGGGCCCCTCCTTGTGGTGTGAGTCGTTCGGGCTCTTCGTGGTGTGAGTCGTTCGGGCCCCTCGTCCTGGTGTGAGTCGTTCGGGCTCCTCGTGGGGGCCTCTCGGAGCCTCTTGGGTCCTCTTGGGGGCATCTTGGGGGCCTCTTGGGGCCTCTTGGGGGCCTCTTGGGGGCCTCTTGGGGCCTCTTGGGGGCCTCTTGGGGGCCTCTTGGGGGCCTCTTGGGGCCTCTTGGGGGCCTCTTGGGGGCATCTTGGAGGCCTCTTGGGAGCCTCCTGGGGGCCTCTTGGGGCCATCTAGGGGCCTCTTGCGACCTCCTCAGAAGCGCAAATGAGCCCTGCCCCCTGAGAAGGACAAAATGAGGCCAAAACCGTCGTAAAATCAATGATTTTGCTAGGAAGGACGATGAGCGCTGCCCCCTCAGAAGTCCAAAATGGGGCCAAAACCCTAGTCAAATCAATGTTTTTGGCTTCACAGAAGAGGAGAGGGACTTATCTCCGTCCCCCCGTCGGGGCCAGAATCCTCGTGAGGGTCGTCGTTTTTTGGCCCTCCCAGGAGTCCGAGAAGACCCCTCCAAGCGGGACCCCCTCTCCAGGTCCAGGGGGAGGGGGTAGGGGGAGGGGTAAACCCCTCCCCGAAGGGGAAGAAGGGGGGTTGAGGACAGAGGGGGCTCGCTAAACCACTCACGCCCAAAGGGCTGGTGGGATTCAAGCTTCGCGCGGCCCGCTGAGCTTCGACCGGAAGAGGTGCGCTCTCGACCCGCGGATCAAAAAAGTGTTCGGCTCCTCGGCGCCCGACGTCTTGATGTCTGGCTCCCCGGTGGCGGGCTCCCGGGCGGCGGGCCCTTTGGGCGTTTGGCACCGCCTGCATAGTCGGGGGTGGACAGAACCCCCAACAATGACACGTCGATTAGTGAATTGTCCGTTTTCGGTTCTCGAGATGGCGCCGTGGCCGTTATTTTCCAGGCTTGCGTCTGCCAGGTTTGGGCCTCAGGTCGTTTTCACTAAACCACGTTTTACTAAAGGGCGGTCTGTCCATCCCCAACATGGGTGCGTCTTGCGGATGTGTGCGGCTCCCGGGCGCCCGGCTCGGGGCTCTAGTGCGCAAAAGGGCGCCGCAGGCCAGCACTCTGGAAGGCTAGGGGACCTCCATGAGCACGCACCGCTGCTACTGCAGCCCTCCGCGCGGCCGCGGGAGGGCGTCTCCCCGAGCCGCTGGTGGCGCCGTCGCCGCTCCCCTCGCCTGTGCGTAGACCGTCGGCACGTGGGCGACGCGTAAAAGCGTGGTTCGATTGCGCCGACACCGGCGCGCAAGTTGCCCGCGAAAGCTGGCGCGTGAGTGCCCTCGTTTCCAATATAATATGGCGGTAAGTCGCTCGTGTCCCTCTACAGGAGGGAGGTTCAAAAATAGTAAATCAATAGTCTGGGGGCATTTTTGTTGATAGTTTTGGTTATTTGTGATCCTTTGTCGAGTATTTCTCATCTTTCGTTTACGATCCGCCTGTAGGAAGACATGCCCGACCTGCATGTAGCGTACCGCGCTGGCGGCCCGCGTAAGCCACCGCCCAAGGTCGCTCCGTTGTCTCGCTCCAGGCCCGTGTTTGATCGTCGCTCACGTGTCGGCGCGAGCACTCGGCTGTGCCCGCGCGCAGGCGACTGCCGCCGCGGCCCCAGGCGAGGGCGGGCGGCGGCCCAAGCGCAAGCCTCCTGCGGCAGTCGGGGGCAGCGATAGGGGGGGATAGGCATAATGGGGCATGCATTCACCCCTGGGGGCCCATTCATCGCCGATAGGCGCCCGATAGCCCCAACCTGCCCAGGAACGCGCGGATTCACGATCGGAGATCTAACGGTCGCCGATCTATCAGCGATGGATCGCCGATTCTAGGTCGACGCAAACCCTTTTATGCCAGCCCCCCTATCGTTGCTCCTGAGGCAGCGGCCGCGGAGCCCTCCTCCGGGGCCTCGGCGGCGTGCCGGGCGGTGCTGCGCTTCGCCGCCGCGCAAGCGCCTGGCACGCGGCGTCGGGCTGCGAGGTGCTGGAAGTGCCAGGCGCGAGGCGGCCTCCCGGTCTGGGCCAGGGTTAAGTCGGGCATGCCCCTCTACAGCTGGAATCTCCAGAAGTAGTCCAGCTACTTCTTAGGCTGCTTTAGGCTACTTCTGAATTTTCGCCCAAGATCCGCCTGCAGGAGGACATGTCCGACCTGAGGCCAGAGGTCAGGACCCTGGCGCTTGGTCGGAGCTGCCCAGGGCCCTGCCGGGGGCCGCGTCGCATGCCAGCTGGCAGCGCCGTCGGGGCCGCCCGCTGGGCCGCTGAGGCTCGTGTGTCTGGGACTCGGGCGCCCAGGTTGCAGTGGGCCGCCACGTGGCCGGGAAGGCCCCTGTAGCCACCACTGCCTCAAGCAGCGACGCGCGCACCTCCAGTAGCTGCAGTCTGGGCGTGCATTCCGACCGAGCTGGTTTGAGCCACAGGGGTGTTGCGCGCTGGTGAGCGGCTGGAGCCAGAACGGCTACGGATTCCGTCCTCCTCCTCCTCCTCCTCCTCTTCCGTATCCATTTTGGCTCAAGGCAATCTCGGCCCCAGACGTTCAAGACAACGTAGCGTGGCGAGGACCCCCACCGGGCCCCCCGAACGTCCTGCCCATGGCGCGGCTCCTCCTGCTGGTGATGCCCCCGGTGGCCGCGGCGGTGCTGAACGTGAAGAACACCGACGGCGAGGCGGCCTGTGCGGCCGAGGACCTGAGGCGCAGGGCGCAGCTGCAGAACAAGCTGGCCGGGGTCTGCGAGGACATGTGCAGGGAGGTGAAGGCGTACCCGAACTGCGACTGCCCGGCCTTCGTGAAGCCAGACTCTACCCCAGGCGTCATGACGTGGCCGGAGCTGCTCGACCACATGGACAACCTTGCGGAGTGGGGCAGGGACAGCATCAAGGGCTGGCATAAGCAGGCGTCGCAGCTGCAGACCGCCAAGAACGCCACCGCCAAGAGCCTCAGCGCCAAGTCCGTTGCCGCCCAGAACTCCACACAGGCCAGCGGAGCGGTGATGAGCCTCAAGGCCAAGCAGCTTATGGAGGTCACCGTTGGGGGCTTCTCCTCTGCACCAGAGGCGTGCGACTACTGTTTCGGCTCGTTCACGAAGACGGGCGTCCCGCCCGCGGGGCCTGTGGCACCCGCGTGCGTGTGCATGTCCTACCCCGACGGCGCCGAGCACAACATGTTCTGCGCCACGCCCGTGTCGGCGGCGCAGTACGTGAAGGAGAAGGGCGGCTGCCTCTGCCAGGCTCGCGACATGGAGTCCATGGGACAGACCACCTGCGACCCGTACTGACCAGGGGCGCTGACTAAGAGCGGGCCATTGCGCCGCCTCGCACGAGATTCCTCCTTCTCCTCCTCCTCCTCTTTCTCCTCCTCCTCCTCCTCCTTCTCCTCCTCCCTTCTTTTCCCAACACCAGGCGCGCTCCCAGCCCCTTACCTCCACCTCCTGCTCCCCCATTCTATCGAAGAAGAAGACTACATCAAATTTCGGAGCTCCGCGCGGATTTCTTTGGATCGGCGCTGTAACCCCCTGGCTGCGCCTCCGGCGCCACCCCTGGCGCACTCCGCTCGCCAGGGAGGGGGGTCCAGCTTCGATCCCAGTAAGCCGCTCGGAGCTCCGAAGTTTATGTTCCTTCCGTTTCTGATCCTCTTGTTCTCTCCCACTACCGTTGGCCCCCCCTCCCTCTGTGCCGTGGGATCCTTGAGGCCTCCTCGTCCCTGAGTGCCCGTGTCGTCGCGCGGCGCTGCTCGACCGTGGGCGCCGTCTCTCTGCCCAGGCGTCGCGGGGCCTCCCTACATCAGGAAGGACAGATCGCACAGACACAAGAAAAGCGTTGATCTCCAGGAACATAGGGGACATTGAGGGGGACGACGAAACTCCACAATACATAGGATGTTGTGCGATGTCTATATATATATGAATACATACATGTACGTGTGTGTGTGTGTCCCTGGGCGCCCTCACTACACCTCAAGTGCCGCCTGGCCATCGATGTCCCATTCGGCACCCAGCTCGGCGGACAGAATTTGAGCGCAAAGTCTACCTGCTCCTAGAAGGCCATCTTCTGGGGTTTTTATGCCAAGGGCTGTGCTCACCTTCCAGCCACAGGCGTCTGTAGACACACGGTATGTCGTCACGCACTGCCGCAATTCGAAGAAGACAGAATTTCAGGAGGGGAAAAACACACAGACACAAATAATCGTCGATTCCCCAGAAAATGTAAGAAAATATGGGCAGTGGGGGGAAGGCACAAACCGGGAAAATATGTGGAAATATGGGGATTCCTTTTATGTGTGTGTATTTATTTGTGTGTCCTGGGGCCCCTTTCACTGACGCGATTCGAAGAAGACAGACTTGCACAACCATCAAATGTCGGAGCTCCGCGCGGAGTTCTCTCTGAGTCGGCGCTGGGCCTCCCCCTGGCGGCGCGTCCGTCGCCACCCCTGGCGCGCCTGGCGCGCTCAGGGAGGGAAGGGAGGGCCCGCCGCCGATCCTGCGACATTCAGGAGGGAGAGAAACACACAGACACAATTAGTCGTCGACCGCATGGAAACTATGAGAAAATATGGGAAGTCGGGGGGAAGACAAAGACCCAGAAACGATAGGAACATTGTGGGAATCTCGGGAGTTGTGTGCATTTATATTAGTGTATCCCTGGGCACCTTCAGACATCGGCGTTGTGCTCCGAAAGTGAATTTCCATGTTGTTGCTTATTCTTCTTCTGCTCGGAGAAGGGTTGGCGAGCTGGGCGGTAGGCGACAGACGCGGCGCGACGCCTTTTCTGATACTGGTTTTTGGGACGCGGCCCGCTTGCGCGGGCCAGATGTCGATACTCCACGAAGCACCACCGGCGCACCCTGTCTTTTTAGGATACGCCTAAGGCCACGCTATTAGACCATGCGTTCCCCCCAGCCGTTGTGGAAGATCTTCGGGGAACACGGGGAGGAAGAGGAGGATGAGGAGAGGGAGGAAAAATGAGGAAGAGGATAGGGGTGAGGAGACCTCCTGGGAGCTTCTTGGGTCATTCTTGGGGCCTCCTGGAAGCTTCCTGGGGGCCCAGGGAGGCACCTTGGGGACATCATTGGGCCTCTTGGTGGCCTTGCCTTTGGGGGCCCCTTTGGGGCCTCTTTGGCAGGGCAGTCTTGCGGCGGGTCTGGCCCGTCGGAAGCCGTCTTGTGAGCGTCTCTGGGCCGTCTTGAGCTCCTGGGACGCTTCAGAGCCGTCTTGGAGGCCATCTTGAGCGTCTTTGAGGCATCCTAGGCCGTCTTGGGGCCTGTTTGAGGCCGGCTGGGGGGCCTCTTGGGCCGTCGTGGGGCCATCTGGAGGCTTCTCGGGCGATCGTGGGGCGGTCTTGGAGGTTTTGGGACCCTGTCCTGTGCAATTGTACTATTTGCTTGCACTCAGACGTGGGTTCGCACGGGTTCGGCACGGGTTCGACGCGTGCTTTGACACGGATTCGACGTGCTCGACACGATCCGACACGGACTCGACGTGGATCGCGGCGCGACGGGACAGTCAAGGCCCCCCGAAAATGCAGCACAATCAAAGGGGCGGCGGATCCAGTGGCTTGCAGCCCATCCCGCCCTCGTGTTTGTGGCCAATCGTCTGGCGACTCGGGGATCGAGGCCCTCCTCGGCCGTCCGAGAGGCCTCTCGGGGCACTTTTTTGTTGCTTCTCGTGGAGCTCGCCTGGGCCCGAGGAAAATTATCTCTGCGGGGAAACGCGCCGGGCGCGCCGGGAGATTCGAGGATTGGGAGTACGGGCCTCCCGAATCAAGCAGTGGCGAAGCGTCCTGGCTCGCCTATAGCCCTACCAAGCAATGTTCTAAGAACCTTTCGTGGCTTCCACGAAATGTTCTTAGAACATTCCTTGCGGAGTCTGTCTTGTTTTATCACATCGGGTGTATGCTCTAAGAACATTGTTTTTGTTCTTAGAACACTTCTGGGTTCTAAGAACATCTCGTGGTAGGACTATAGGAATGCCAGGATGGTCGGTCCCTGCTCAACTGACACATACTCAGGTTTGAGGACTGAGGCCCGGGGGATTGAGCAAGGGACACGTGCGTGCCTCGCAGGCACGGTGGCGGATGCACATCCCAAGGCGCGCCCGAAAGGCTAAGCGGTCGGACGTGTCGCGTGTCCCGCGTTCGTCGGGCCCCGCGGTACGTATTCCGAATTTCCCGCGGCTGTGCTAAGACAGCTGATTGTTCAAGGCGCCGACATCGCAGAGCGTACTACGTTCGTGAAACAATGTGATGGGCCTGGATTCTCCTGGAGAGTGTCGTTCCAGACTTCGAAGCACATTTCGTGCGGATTTGGATTTGGCCCGGGAGTGAAGGTTACAAGAACTCCACGTGAACTCCATTGCGATTTTCGCTCGATATTTGGGGTTTTGCAATGACAGGGGTCCACGCATCAATCCGCTGCAGCACGTCTGCAAGGTCGAGGCAGTGAGATTGAGCAGATTTGTTTGAACAGCTGATGTACGTATCGTGGGTCATCGGGGCAACCATGACGCATGGAGTTACACAATATGCCCCTGTTTTCCTCAGCACTCGGCAGAGGGTGAGTAGTAGATCAAGCAGTGGCGAAGTGTCCTGGCTTGTCTATACGCTTTTCCAAGCAATGTGTTATTTCCTTTTGAGGTGTTCACAACATTTTCTTAGAACAGGTCGTGGCTGCGACGGTATTCTTTTTATATTCTGGAGTTGTGTTCTAAGAACATGGTTGTTGTTAGTCGAACTTTCTTTTGTTCCAAGACTCTGTCATGGTAGGCTTAATTGAGTACTGGAAGGTCGGACCGTGCGCAATGGAAGCGGGGGCACACTCATGGCTTTTTTCAGTGATATCTACTCCCTGTCGCGCCCCGAAGCCAGTTTTCAGGGCGGGCCATGCATGTCGACTGAGACGTCCTTCTTCTGACCCTGAAGCTTAACATATGGCAACATCTTCACATCTGGAGGGCGGGTGGTTTTCAACATGTGGCGCATGCCTTCGCGCTGCGCACATTCGTTTTGTAAAGGTTAGCGGGAGCTTCTCGGTTTGAGGGCGGGTGGTTTTCAAAATGTGATTGTCGCCTTCGCACAGTGCACAGTCGTTTTAAACAATTGCAAGAGCTTCACGGATTGAGGCCCGGCGGTTTTCAACATGTGGTTCTCATATTAGCGCGGTGCACATTCGTTTTACACATTTGCTGAGTTTGCGGGTTGTGGGCGGTTGCGTTTCTACATTGTGGTTATCTGAGTTAGCGCCGCGCGCGCTCGTTTGACACATTTGTGAGATTGTCACGGATTGAGCGCGGCTCCGCTTCAAAACGTAGTTCTCGATTCAGCGCCGCTTCATTCGTTTCAATTTGCAACAGTTTCACGGTTTCCCATGATCAGCGTACCACAAATGGTGTTTTGTAAAGGTTCAGGCTTTTGGGGGTGCAACAGTTACGTCACTTCGCGGTGTTGAGGTCCACGAATGGCGTTATGGCACGATTCCGGATCGTCAAGACGCAACAGTCAGGTTGATCCGTGGCGTTGAAGTCCCGAGAACAATGTTTTGGCATGTCTCAGGGACCTCAAACGGTTGCCTTCGAACGAGGCAGTGACCTCAGTGGATATGAACCGTTGCAGGGGCCTGTGAAGAGGGAGCTTGGAGGGAGGGTTTATTCCAACAGCGTTGATGACTATTGCGTTTACACTGGTCCTCCTCCTGCTCCTCCCGACCCTCCCCGAGGCCTCTGGACAAATCGCGCGCACATAGGGCTCACGTAGACCTCTCCGACTCGTTTCGATGCCGTTCCATTGCGTTTCTGGTTCGAATCGGTTTCGGATGTCGATTGGGATGGTGTTTGTTTCACTGGCGGCCTCACTGGTCTGCCGATTCCCGCAACATTCTTTCGAGCCCTCCCGATTCGGCAGCCGTGTTCCACCGATCCGATTCGATTCGGGTCCCTCATGGTAAAGTCCAGAGGTAGCCCAGGAGATCTCCTGAGCACCGAGGTCGCGGGAGTGTGGCCACCTTAAAGCGCGCGTCTGCAACTTTCGATGCCGAGCCCCCTCCGCCCCGCCTCCAGCCCCATCGTCGTCGATGTTCGTTCCATGCTGCACCGTGGACAATTCTTTGTTTCAGCATGGGACTGGAGCCACAACGCGGGCCACGCGGGTCACACGATGAAAACGTAGCTTCACTGAGGCCCCCGTCCTCGCATTAGGGATCATCATTTTGGGTGGTTTGCCTCGATACACCTGTAGAAAAGACCCCCTATCCCTGATGTTCCCGGCCCTCCTAACTTCGGCCCCATCCCAAAGGGTTAGGGGGCGTCCTCCTTCTGGTTAATAACCAACTCATCAGATGTCTGGCGGTGGGCCGACTGCGCTGCACCTCCACCGCGGTCTGCCCCTCCCCCCCCCGTGCGTGCCCACTCTGAGCTTTTTTCGGGGGGGAAATTGCCATATGCGCCGCAGCGGACAGCGCGGCGCGCGCGCCCTCGCGGACGGCGGAGGACGGTGGGCGGGAGTGCGGGCAAGACTCATGTCCATTCCACGGCAGCTTGGAGTTTCGGGCCCCCTTCCCCAGAAGCTCGAGGCACAATGGACATGGGTAAAAACTCGGCCCCATCGAGGCTCGGTTGTCAGACATATCCGGTGCGCTTCGGCCAATCATGTACAGGATGCATCGGATATTGATATAATCCTTGCCCGCAGGGAGGGAGGCAGGGCGGCGGCGAGGAAGAGGGAGTGGGTAGAGCGGGAGGGAGCTGGAGCTGGAGCTGGGAACGTGACGAACGTCAGAGGTGCACTGACAATCGCCACTGCTGACGACAGACATGCGGTGCACCAGAGGACGGAGGCCGACCCTCAAGACGAGCCGGTGCGTCGGGCGGCCTGCTCCGTTTTGCTCGGAGCCTGTGTGGTCAGAGCCCTCGAGAGGGGGAGCGGGAGGGAGGGCGGCAGCGAGGGAGAGGGAGGGAGCTGAGAGCAGGGCGGGCGGCAGCGACGGAGAGTGAGTGGGGAGAGCGGGAGGGCGCGTGGGGCAAAGGGGGGGGGGGGGTAGGGAGTGCCCACGGCTTGCTGCAGACTGCAGGATGGAAGCCGAGGCGCTGCCGCCGCGCCCTCGCCACAGCCGCACGGGGGCACGGGGCGCGCGCGCGCGCGCCTCTTCACCACCCACCAAACCGCCCCAACCCCACCCGAAGGCCTCCATTTCCAGTGGGGGGGCGTCGGGGAATAGTGAAAAGACGCGTACGGGAGGTTCGCGTCGTGCCGACCAGCGGCGACCCCAGCGCGCGCGTGTAACGTTGAACGCCGCCCGTGGCCCAGAACCGGCCCGTCGTTGAACGATCCGGCGTTCACAGAACGGCGGGTCGTTCAAGTGTGAACGATCCCCACGGTGTCAGGAGCCAGCGCTGGGGTCGACACGACGCGAACCTGCCGTGCTCCCCCAACCCGAGATGGGGATCATCTCCAGGTTGGGTTGCGGTGGTCTGGCAGGCAGCCCCCTCTAGCAGTGGCGAAGCGTCCTGGCTCGCCTATAGCCCTACCAAACAATGTTCGAACATCCTTTTGTGGTTTCCAGGACATGTTCTCAGAACATTTCTGGCTGGCACTGCCTTGTTGTCTTGACACATCGGGAATATGTTCTAAGAGCATTTTTGTTCTCAGAACACTTCTGGGTTCTAAGAACCTTTCGTGGTGTGACTATGGGAATGCCGGGACGGTCGGTCCCTGCTCAATTAACGGGCGAAGAACGGTATAAAATAAACTTGATCGCTGTCGGGGGCGCCTGTCCCAGGGCGGCTGGAAAGTTTATACCCTTACGGTGGCACCGTAGGGGTATAAACTTTCCAGCCGCCCAGGGACAGGCGCCCCCGACAGCGAAAAAGTTTATTTTATACCGTTCTTCGCCCGTTAAGCTCAACCCTCTGCGCTTCCCGCCGCGGGCCCCCGCCGCGCCATGGCGGTGGCGGCGCTGCTGTCCGGCGAGGCCCCGCGGCGCGGGCCGCGCCCGCCCTCGGTCTCCTGTGCCGCGGGTCGGTGGGCGCCCGGCCGATGCCCCGAGCCTACGCCGGGCCTGTCCCCCTATAGCGGAATTCTCTATGAAAAATAAAGAATACCCCCAACACAAATGAGTGAAAAAATAGTCCGAAAATAGTCTGGGGACTATTTTTGGTGTATTTTTACCTTGTTGGTGTATTCTTCGGGTGTTTTTAATTTTTTGTCGAAAATCCCCCTGTCGGGGGACAGGCCCGACATAACCCGAGCCCCATGTCCGTCCCGATCCCGATGCCTACAGTCGACCCGCAGAGTGGATAGGCATCCCTCCCAAGGGTACCCTTGCATCCTTGGTTCCTGGGTCCATCCTTTGACACTTTCGTTGGCCGCGCCCCGCTCGAAACGCTTGAGATGGGCGTCCAAGGGCCTTGCATCCTGATCGCACATCCTTGCTCTGCGGGTTGACTGTACCAGGAAGTCGGGCGATCGCAAACATGGATCAGGGGGGCGTGGATTGGCGACGGGTCCCGTTTCCAGGGGAGAGCGCGGATTGGGGCCGCATGTTGGGGAGGACACCTCCCACGATCCATGGATTTAGCGACCCCGCGCCAAATCCATGGATCGCTAAACCATTTCTGCGCGCCCCCGACAGTAAGCAGGAGGAAATCTCGAAAAGTGATAGGAACAACTCATCTGTGGGCGATTCGTTTGTCTATGTTTATTTTTTTGAGTATTTTGAACTTTCGTTTTTGGATTTGGCCTCCAAGCTCCGCCTGTAGGAGGACATGCCCGACCTAATTCCTACCATCGGCGTCCCCCCAACATACTACTACGATGAGTGTGTCGCCCCGCCAGGGGCGACGCGTGCATCGAGAAATCTTCTGAGATGTGCGTCGTGGCGGGCGCTTTCTGGCACCTCCGCTCGGGAAACGATACTACAAGTATACAATGGGCTCGGGTCGGACGCGCACCTCCAAGGAGAACATATTGCACCAGTATGTGTTTGTGCATCCCATACCACTGCACCACCCTAGTTGGGGATGTGCCTCTCGATGCCCGAAGGGAACAGGCAGCCTGTGTCCCCAGTTGGGGGGGGGGTGAAGCGGCCGGCGGGGCCGCGGCCACGCCGGTGGGGATGGGGATCGGTTACAGCAGGATGCTCATTGCGTGGTCCTTCATGGGCAGCCTCAGGGGCTCCCCAAATTCCCTGCAGTTTGGGGGATTTCGTCAGGATTTCGTCGGACTCGGTCGAGATCTGCGCGAAATCTTGACGAAATCTGGACGAAACCTGGACGAAAGGGTCAAGAGTTGTGGTCGAAATCTGGAGACGAAATCCGGTTGATATCACGTTCATGACAGGGCCGCGGAGGTCCACATCAGTTCACATGGAGGGCGTGCGCGTGCTTGGTGAATCTGGAGGCTTTGGGATGTGTCTTTTTCCAAGATTTCGAGCCCCTGGCCACCAGCCTCGAACTTATCCCTATCCCTGAGGTTGACACGCCAAAAGGCGATGACAATCTGGGGATGCACCCTCAGAGACTGAGGTAATCCCTAAGATCGCCATCGTGATGAGGCGATGCCGAACATAGGGATAGGGATATGTTCCAGGCTGGTAACCTGGCATCGGAGGGGGGCCAGTCGAGACAACGTCCCCCTTCCATTGCATGTTTCGTCGCTTGTGGGCCTCCTGGAATCTTCTCGTCGCCACAGCTGGCGGCTCGAAGCATCCTCAGCCACCAACGACGCAGGCGAGCGCTGTGCCCCCCCCCCCAAAGTAGTCAGTTTGAATGGGCTGAATCCAGCTCTCTTGTTCGCCTCGGACGCGTGCGGCAGGCAGTGGGGAGGAGGGGGAGGAGGAAGGATGGACATGAGGAGGCGGAGTCGGAGGAGGAGGAGGAGGAGGAGAAGTAAGGGAAGGAAGGGAAGAGGAGGGACAGGGGGGAGGATGGAGAGGAGGGGAGAACGCGGGAGAGGAGGGGAGAGCCGGGAGAGGAGGGCGAGGGAGCGGGTGCGCAGCGGATGGAGGCGAACGCCAGCCTGCCGCTGCTGCCGCAGCCCCCCCCCACCCCCCCGAGGCCCTGATGCCGCTGCTGGCGGGCGGCGCGGGCATCTGCGCTGCCGCGGCGAGCCCCGTGCGGGGGCGGAGAAGGAGGGGGAGGAGGAGGAGGGGGAGGAGGAATGCTCAGAGGAGGAACAGGTGTTCGGCGTTTCTGAATGTGCGTGGGGAGGGGGGGGGAAGGCGCAGAGGAGGCAAAGGTGCCCTCTACCCTTCTCTGCCTTTCGCCCGCTTTCCCTCCTTAGGGGGGCCCCCTGGCCGGCCCGCGTCGCCACGGCTGGATCCGCCTCGAGATTCTGGTCAGAACGCACCCCAGGAGAGGTCTACATAGGGAGCGGCGGTATCGGTACTTTTTGGTTGCCCCAGTGCGGGGGCGGACAAGGGAGGAAGAGGAGGAGGAAGGCGACGGTCTCTGCCAGGGCCGGCCGCTGCTGTGGCCCGCTTACAGACGCGGCGGCGGGCGAGCTGGTCCCGTTGGTTCGATGGCAGCTTGCCCGCCCTCCAGTGACGATGGCGTCGGTTGACTGATCGTAGACGTGTTGCGCCCCCCGACTAGGCTGCAGGAGGAGAAGGAAGGCAAAGCGGACGGGGCCATCCTCTTTGTTTTATTATTGCGTCCCCATTAACGCGTGCGCATTTGAATTTGAAGATCAATATGTTGGGGACTGCGTCGACGGCCAGTTCGTTTCAGTATTGTCCAGCACACAAGATCGTCCTCTATAGATTCCCCATTGGCCTCGGAAAGACCAAAGACATTGTATCCGCCGTGGGAACCATTGCAAAGAACGAGGCTCAGAACGAGGAGCACGAGCAGATGCAACCTCAGCGAGACTGGAAGTGGTAAACAACTAAGCTCAGGGTAGCACGTGCAAGGATAGATGCGCCTGCTGTACAACGTGTGCGATTCGAGTGAACCACGGCGCATGTGGCGCCCGAGGTAAAAAGTGTGGCTGACAAGCGAGCTATCGCTGCAACCATTGCGTTTCGATGTCCAACGTGTCTCGTCTTCTTGCTCCTCGCGCGCTGCGCAGAGAGGGGCAACGCATTCGTGGATGCCCACGGCTGCGAAATAATATTGGCCAATGGGTAAGAGAACCCTAACTGATACAGAACACTGTCCCTGGCTGTCTCTTTCTGCTTGTGCTCTTGTCAGGCCGGTCGGGAGCCAAAGGTGAGCTTGCAGTGATGCGAGAGAGCCAGAACACTCAGGGAAGGAGCTGCATGGGCCGCTGCTCGCTTGTGCTCAAGGCTTGCGGGCTGGGATCCAAGAGTTTGCAGGCCGGAACGGAGCCTGAAGGTTCAGAACGTACACCACTGGGCTTGTATTCGTTCATGCGTTGGCCAGGCAGGCTGGGACAAAAAGTGCAGGCAGGCAAGGGAAGCATCGACAAATTGGAGGAAGCACGCCGCCAGGACCTGTTAAGCGGTTCACAGGGGACAGGTTCACCCGGGGGCCATGTCAATTAAGAAACCAAGCCGCTTGGGCTTACTTTCGCTTATGCGCTCCCCAATTGAGTGTGGATTGCATCGTGGGTAGGTTGGCGCGGATGGCTTAACAGTCAACGGCTTCGGAAGCCTGAAGCGGCCTCGAGATTTGGAGTTTGTGGCAAGTTTAGAAGATTTGTCTTACACCATGGTTTCGCAATATATATATATATATATATATATATATAGATGAACATCCTGAAGGCCACGCGCGACGCGCAATAGCTGTATCATCTAGTCCACACGTCGTCCGCTACGGGACGACGTTCGTGCGGCGATGGTCCGACGTACATCCGACGTAACCCCGACGAGCCCGATACAAATCCGACGTGGACCCTGCGTATACTGGGTCCCAAGTTGCCGCACGAGGCCTCCCGGACAGTTCCTTACCACAGTTGCCCGATCCTGTTGGCCCAGACGAAAGGAGGCATAGGGAAAGGCGGGGGGGTACGAAGTCTGCTGCAGGCAGCTGGCTTCGGCCCCGCCGCCAGGCCCACTCCGACTCCCCGCTGCGCGGGCGCCTCCCCGCGCCAGCCGGCGCCCGGAAGAGCAGCTGCGCGAGCGGCTCCCCGACCCTGCCCTTTGCTATCCCCCCCTTTCGTACCACTTCACCGACCTCACGCCGACCAGCACCCGGGAGACTCAGACCAATGACGTACTCTCGCCCAACCCGCGCCGACACCGACACCAAGGACTTTCTGGTCCTCCTCCTCCCCCTTCTCCTCCTGACCTTTCACACGTCTCGCACTGCATGAATCCGGACACCTCAGGTCCTAGAGGCCATGGCCTCGCCCACCTGGTCTGCCCTAGGCCCGGACACTGTCCGTAACGGTGGTCGCATCGCATCGCATCGCATCGCATCGATAGTTGCCCGGGCGTGTCGGATGAGGACCTGCTTCGGCGCCAGGCGGCCCTTCTCCCATCCGCCGCGCGTGGGCCTCAGCGGCAGAGGCCGCGGCGGGCGGCGCGGCGAGCCTGCTGCGGCGGCGCGGCGGCTCGAGCCGCGAGGATTTTGCAGGGCGGCTGACGTCGAGGCTACGGTTCCGTCGGGCATGCCCCCCTGCAGGAGGAGTGTCCAAGGATAATCTAGCCTGGGGACGCTGTGTTGGAGACCATCTCTTTATTGCTTGGGGCATGACGGGCGTCATGGCCCCCGCCCACCCCCCTATATGACCTAACGCTCCCCCCCCCAGAGCGCTCCGGGCACTGCCGCCGTGCGTATTGGGATCCGCGTATGTGTCCGCGTGGGAATCCGCAGGAGTCTGGTCCGCATTCGTCGTCGTCGTCGCTCGTCGCTCGTCGCTCGTGGCTCGTGGCTCGTCGCTCGTCGCTCATCGTCGTCTTGCGCGCGGACGCGGCTGGAGCATGTTTTCTTATTCCGGGCCGATGACGGCAGTCATCTGTGGGGGGGAGGGGGTCGATGACGTCACGCTTCGCGCCGGCGGCGCCTGGGAATGCGTAGGAATGACGGAGGACGGGTGGCACCATCATGTTGGTTGCGATTTGTTCCACAACGCTTGTGTACACTTCAATGCTTGCGTGCACCACAGCGCCTGTGTACACCACGCCGCCTATGTACACCACAGCAGCTGCGTGCAACACAGCGTCAGTTTGTGCCACCGCGCGCGCGGGCACAACAGCTCTTGTGTACACCACAACGCCTGCGTACACCACATCAGCCGTGGGCAACACAGCTGTGCACACCACAATGCCTGCGTGCATTGCAGTGCCTGTGTACACCACGGCGCTTGTTTGCACCACAGCAACCGTGTGCAACACAGCACCACTGTTGCATGTAGAATGTTATGACAAAATGGAGCGTTTGTGGATTCCACCGAAAACACCAGAAGATAACCTTTATGGACAAGGGGCCGCCAGGGGAATCTACGAGTCCTTCCGAGTTCGCCCGCATCACCGTAACTCCTCCCATCTGCGTCCAGGAAGCTCCGGCTAAATTGGCCGTCCGAGAACCAAGTGGGCCGATTCAATAGACCATTTTGCGGTGCACGTTGTGTTGCGCACGTGTGCTGTAGCGCCAACCCGCACGACAGGGGGCAAGGAGGACGAGGAGGAGGAAGAAAAGAAAAAGGAGGAGGAGGCGGAAGTAGAGGGAAGGGGAGAGGGAAAAACGTCGCATTCGATTATCAGCATTTTCCTGGCGTGGGGCTTCCGCAGCAGATCCGCACGTACAGGCTCTTTCTTCCTGTCCTACGCACGCAGGCACAGTGGTGTACAATAGCGCTGCGTTGCACGCGGATGCTGTGGTGTAGACAAGCGCTGTGGCGTGCACAGGCGCCGCGGTGCACGCAAGCAGTGTGGTGTACACAGGCGCTGTGTTGCACATGGTTGCCTGCGGTCTGCACGTGTACACCAGCGCTGTAGTGTACGCGAGCACTGCAGTGTACACAGGCGGTGCGTTGCACACGGTTGTTGCGATGTACGCAGGCACTGTGGTGTACACGCGCGCTGTGGCGCACGCGAGCGTTGTGGAGTACACAGGCGCAGGGGGGCAGATCGCCACCTACATGCTGCTCGCGTCGTCGTCGTCGCTCGTCACTCGTCGCTCGTCGCGTCGTGTGCGCGGGCGCGGTTGTGGTGCCGGAGCCACACGGCGGGGGGGGGGCGTTACGTCATACCCCCCCCCCAATGACGCCCGTAATCGCCGAACATTTTTGGTATATTTTTGGTGTTTGTTTCGTCCAAAATCCCCCTGTATGGGGGACAGGCCCGACCTAAGACTACGGTTCAGTCGGGCATGCCCCTCTGCAGGAGGAGTGTCCACGAAGAGTCAGCATAGTCTGGGGACGATTTGTTTGTTTATTACTTGTTTTGGCTATTTGTTTCATCGGTTAATTTGGCTACTGTTTGCGCTGATTCGAGAATTCGGATGCCCAACCAACCTAAGACTGAGGATGCCGAGGCGAACGACGCCGGTGTACCATAAGCAGCAGAGCGGCAGAGCGTTAGAGCAGCAGAGTACCAGCAGGGGGGGCGGGAAGCTAAGGAGGATGGGGGATGTCAGAGTCTTTGTGTTGCCAGGGGCCATGAAGCAGCGCCCTTGGTGACACCTCCGGTCGCTTCGAAACCCTGCGGGGGATGGTGGGCAGGAGGAGGAGGAGGCAGGAGGCCGAGGACGACGAGCAGGCTTGAATGCTTCGCACCGCATCCACCTGTCCCCTGCACCTGCCCGTTTCGTCACCGCCTCGTGCCCCGTGGCGCTCACCTCTGCGCGGTGATCGGTTGATACGGGGCGAGAAAACGACCACAGCCACTGCTTTTCTTTTGTAGCTGCCTTCCAGCCAGCAGAAACAAAGCAGTGGTTGTGGTCATTTCCGTTAAGCTTGGCACCAGGGGAGTGACGACAACCACTGCTTCTTTTTACCTAACAGCGAAGACTGATAGGTTTCTAGTGGGGTCAAAAGAGAGCATCATGACTCCTCAGGGGGGTCGGGGCGGGACCTGGGGCGGGACCCGGCGCGGCTGCCGCCGCACTCGTTTTTCGCAAACAGTCACACACTTCGTGCTCTTCGACCTCCCAGAACTCCATTCCCGGGCCACATTCTGAATGCCCGGAGCCAACTGTAGGCCACTTCGTGCTCTTCGACTTCCCAGAACTCCATTCCCGGGCCACATTTTGATGCCCGGAGCCAACTGTAGGCCACTTCGTGCTCTTCGAGTTCCCAGAACTCCATTCCCGGGCCACATTTTGGATGCCCGGAGCCAACTGTAGGCCACTTCGTGCTCTTCGAGTTCCCAGAACTCCATTCCGGGCCACATTTTGAATGCCCGGAGCCAACTGTAGGCCACTTCGTGTTCTTCTAGTTCCCAGAACTCCATTCCTGGGCCACATTTTGAATGCTGAGGCAGGCTGATGCTGCGGCCGAGGCAGGCTGAGGCTGAGGCAGGCTGAGGCTGAGGCCGAGGCTGAAGGCAGACTGAGGCTGAGGCTGAAGCAGACTGAGGCTGAGGCTGAGGCAGGCTGAGGCTGAGGCTGAGGCAGGCTGATGCTGAGGCAGGCTGAGGCTGAGGCTGAGGCTGATGCAGGCTGAGGCTGAGGCAGGCTGAGGCTGAGGCCGAGGCTGAAGGCAGACTGAGGCTGAGGCTGAAGCAGGCTGAGGCTGAGGCTGAGGCAGGCTGAGGCTGAGGCAGGCTGAGGCTGAGGCAGGCTGAGGCTGAGGCTGTGACTGCGACTGCCGTTGCCGCTGCGACTGTCATCGCGAATGCGACTACGACTGCGAGAACAGCAGAATTCTACAACTGGATTTTCATCTGAATCGTAAGGGGGATGCTTTCAGATATGCTTCTACACATCGCTGTTAGGTTGCTTTGCCGGGATAATTCGGCTGGCTGGAGGGCGGCGCAAACAAGAAGCAGTGGCTGTGGTCATTTTCCCGTCTCGCAGTTGAACCACGGGTGGACGAGGGCGCGGGCCTCTCCCCAGAGGCCCGCTGGGAGCGGGCCCGCGGCCGGTGCGGCGCGGGGCGCACACCGGACGGGTCGGGGGCCCCCACACGGTGCGGTGACAGGCCGTGCGGTGGTTGCAGCATCCCCCGGGGGCTTCACCCCGCGGTCCGCCCCCCACGCGGTTGTCTTGGGGGACCTCGGGGGCCAAGGAGACGGACCGAAGTCCGAGAGCCGTGCGGCCACCCCGAGGAGACCAGCGGACCCGCGGCGTGCACGGCTCACCGAGGCTTCCCAAGTGGGGTCCGAGTGGATCCCCGCCACGGAAAAGTGTACACAGACAAACCATCCAATTGATTTTCCAGTGCATTAGGGGAGGGCGGCGGTGTACAAAACACAACTGCGAGCCAGCGACTTTCTGCACCGCCGCCATGCCCGAGGGTGCACGCAAAGTTTGTCGGAGGGCGTCTGTGAACGTACTTTCGTGGCGTAAGATGGGGTGGAAAGATCGTTCCGCCTCGACGATGCGGCTCGATGTGGAGCCCGATGTTCTCACACCGATGCGTCGCCGACGGGGCGCGATCCCTTCTACTCGGCCCCTTATCTGGGAGGCCTCTAGTTTAGGGGCCCGTGGACAGAGCTGACAGCAGGCGTTAAGCGTTGAACGCCGCCGTCGACCCAGAAGTGAGGAGGAGGAGGAGGAGGAGGAGGAGGAAGGGGCCGATCGTTCAAGGTCGAACGACCCCCGCGGTGTCAGGAACCGACGCCAGAGTCGGCACGACGCGAACCTGCCGCGGGCCCCGCCTCGAGGTTGTGCCAGGCCGACCGGCCCCCCCTGCGCGGAGCTCGTCGTCCCCGCGCGGCGGCCGGCAGGCCTTCATCGCCTCCAGCAACGGCGAGATGAAGCAGGGCGAGGCCGCGCGTTGCCCGTGCCCCGGGCCCGGCGGCAGTCCGCAGAGAGGCTTCGGGGCTGACGTCACCGAGGCCTCCCAGAGGGGGACAGAGTCGACGACGACGACGACGACGATGGCGAGGAAGAGGACGGCGAGGACGAGGACGAGGACGAGGACGACGACTACGAGGACGACGACGACGACGACGACGAGGACGAGGACGACGACGACGACGACGACGACGACGACGACGACGACGACGACGACGACGAGGACGAGGACGAGGACGAGGACGAGGACGAGGACGAGGACGCCGAGGACGACGATCAGGAGAGGAAAAAACACACAGACACAATTCATTCTCGATTCCCCAGAAAATATGGGAAAATATGGGAAGTGGGGGGGAAGACAGAAACCCAGAACATATGGGAAAATATGGGGAATCTGTTTATTTGTATGTATTTATTTGTGTGTCCTGGGGCCCCTTCAGACGAGGACGACGAGGACAAGTCAGGCCTCCAGGATGGGGGGTCGGAGGATCGCTCCATATCGCGGATGCACTGCCGATGCGGCTCGATGTGGAGCCCGAATTTCTCCAGCGATACACAGCCGAAGTCTCCGATGCATCGCCAGTGCATCGGCGCTGCGGCACGATCCTCCGACCTCATCTACTCGGACCCCTATTCAGGAGGCCTCTCCGTAACGGGGGTCAGCCAATCCCTTCAGGCTGACCCGGATTTGGGAGTCCACCCGGGGCCGATTCCCCCTTTTGCGCCCTCCGCTAAGGCTGGCTGGGATTCGCTTTAGTGCCCTGGTCGAGGGTGTTGGCCAACCTGGGCCAGTGCTTCCCCGAACGTCGCCAGCCTCCTCCCAACCACTGTAATTGCGAGGCGGACTTGATGGGGCCGTGAAGCGGGCGGGGAGGTGGGGCGATGCCCAGGCGAAGAGAGGATGCGCGCAACCGAAGGTCTCCGCCGATGCTCGAGCCCCGAGGCAGAGCTTGAAGAAAGCGGGAGTGTAGGGGAGGAAGAAAAGGTGGATGGCAAGGAAGAGGTTGATAATGAGAACGGATGAGACGAGGAGGAGACGCACGAGGAGAGGGAAGAGGAGGTTAAGTGCAGCATCGGACCGCGCTCGCACGATAGATACTTCCATGAACTTGCCCGGCCCTCTCGAGTAAACATGGTTGGCAAAAGGCGTCACGTATCGAGGTCTCGGCACATCGCGGCCGCCCCCCATGAGCAAAAAAGTTTGGCAGCATCAGCACGCAGAGCTCCACGCCCCTTCCGCCACTCTGCTGATCTCCTCCGAGGTTCGCGGAAAGACTGGGCGTATCCCACCAAGTAGTTGGTATTTTAGAAGTGCGGTTCTCTTCTTTGTACGAATGAGTTCCTTTTCCCTGTCGAAGGGGGAGCGCCCAGCTGACGACGCAAGGAAATTGAGGACTCCGGGCGGGGAACACTGCTGTCACAGCTATGTTGCTATGCCGACGGGGACGTGGACACCATGCTAGCCGCCCCAGGTGGCTCTTCCAGTCCCCGTCCCCCTTCGCGTCTCCCCCGTCCCAGTCTCACCGCTCGGCTTGCCTCCCGCCTGCAGTGGAAACCCATGCCAAGAAACACCCTGCTTGCCTCCAGGGTGCCCTGGGATTCTTGGGTTTCGATGTTTTTGCGATGGAAAGAGTGACGTTCCCACACCGAAAGTTGGCGCCGCGGGGTCTCGGGGTTGGGTTTCTTGTGGAAGGATTCCTGCGGTCGAGCTCATATTATACCCTCCCTCCACCCTCCACCCTCCTCCCGCCCCTCGTCGCTGTCCCTGTGCTTTCTCCCGTCCCGCCCTTCTACTTCCCCCCCTATGCCGAGCTTTCGGGCCCAGAGTTGGTCACACATCTCCTGCACAGACTAAGTAGCACCTCCCAGTGGTTGTGGCCAACACGACTTGCATCTAAAGCGAACACAGCCGATTTTCCAGCATCGGCCTCAGACGAACTCGTCTTAGCAGGCGGCCATCCAGCCCCCAGGCCAGCCACAACTGGGGGAGCCGTGGTCCTCACCCCCCTGGGGGACCCATCGATTTCGACACCCCTCTCCAGAGATCGTCGATGCGATGGGTTCCCCCCGGGGGGGTAAGGACCACAGCTCCCCCAGTTGTGGCCGGTCGGACCCGCTCTGCGAGACGTGCGGTCGGTTGCAGCAGTGCGCACTCCGTGCGTGCGCGCCGCACTCCCCGGGCCGGGGCCCTCGGGCCCGTCTGGGGCGTGGCCAGGGTTGCCCCTCCCTGGCCCCGGGTGCCCCCGACTTTTCGCACCCTTTGTGGACCTCCTGAGGCCATGCACGCTGGTCGTTGACAGTTCCTCCTCCTCCTCCTCCTCCTCCTCCTCCTTCTCCTCCTCCTCCGCCTCCTCCTCCTCCTCCTCCTCCTCCTCCTCCTCCTCCTCCTCCTCCTCCTCCTCCTCCTCCTCCTCTCTCTCCTCCTCCTCCTCCTCCTCCTCCTCCTCCTCCCTCCTCCTCCTCCTCCTCCTCCTCCTCCTCCTCCTCCTCCTCCTCCTCTGTCTCCTCTGTCTCCTCCTCCTCCTCCTCCTCCTCCTCTCTCTCCTCCTCCTCCTCCTTCTCCTCCTCCTCCTCTTCCTCCTCCTCCTCCTTCTCCTCCTCCTCTCCCCTAGTGGGGGCCTGGCACCTGTTGTTCTCATGGTGTCAGTGCCACACACTCCTTGGGGCACACTGTCAGTGTCAATTGCATGCGGCGGCTGGGGGCAGATAAACCGGCTTTCGTCGTTCTTGCACCAGCCATGTGGCATTTTGCCCGTGGCAGCGGCGCGTTAGCTGCGCCCGTGACCTGGAGATGGGTACCAGGCACTGGGAGTGTGCATTTGGGTGAGAGGCGGGGCCGTGTGGTCCGTAAGTCCCTTGGGACCTTGTGTCCGCTCACCCTGGGGCACAGAACCCGGTTGCACATGCCATCCCATTTGGCAGGGGTGACGGTCGGGAAGTACTGCGCGGTGACGCGGTGAACCGGCTGTCCCCCTACGCACCACGCCGTCTCGGTTGGGCATCGCTGAGCGACGAGGTATCCGCCTTTCCCCTGACAGTCGGTGCTGGCGCCTGCGGGCCCCTTCCTCCTGTCTGGGAGGCCGAGGCTGACGGTTGAGCCTCGTTCGCCGTTCACTTCTTGGATCTACGACGCCCATGACTTTCCTCCCTCTCCTCCTCCTCCTCCTTCTCCTCCTCCTCCCTTCCTCCTGGCCCGTGTCCGGAGCGACACGCTCGGCTTTGCGATTGTTTCTCGTTGTGTCCTACAGAAACGGTTGGAGGCCGTCGGGGTTGCGTGCACGATCCGTTCGTCCGTTTTTGATGGCTTTGCGAGCGGGTGTGGATGTCGTCCGGGTGTGGATGTCGTCCGAGGGAAAAACACGCCAGTCGTTGACAGTAGGTATTTCTGGACCGCCAGATCCCAAACTATTTTGAGTTCCCTCATGCAAGAATCGATATGCGCCTGCGGCGGTTTATTTGTGCCATTATTATTATAATGATGTATTATTATTATTATTATTACTATTATTATTACTATTATTATTATTATTATTTATATTATTATTATTATACGTATTATTATTATTATTACCAATATTATTATTATCGATATTAGTATTATTATTTCTGAGAGGGCCTGAACCACATCTACTTGATCCGCTTTTCTACTTCATGTGTTTTACTTACTTCTGCCGACCGACCGGCACCAGCCTCGTCGAGGGCTGGTGTGGAGGCCATCTTGGCCTTCTGGGGCACCCCGGGGGCATGGAGTCGATTTGTACACCACGCCGATGGGCCAGCTCAGGAGCCCGTGGACTCCGCCAACTAATGGTAGGTCGGGCCTGTCCCTCTACAGGGAGAATATCAAAAGATAGTCAACAAATAGTCTGGGGACGATTGTTTGACCAATCATGATGCTTTGGGGGGGGCATGTTCGAAGTGTTTCTGTGTATATATATATACACATATATGTATGCATACATCTTCAAAGGTTATATATGTGTCTGTGCGTGTGTGCTTTTCCTTGCAAATCCGCCTGTATGGGGCCATGCCCGACCCAAAACTAATGCAGTGTACAGACGCTCCGGCCACAGCAGCTCGGGAAGCTGCGGCGTGTGCGCGCCGAGCTCCTGGGCCGGCCCGACGGCGTGCCTCGGGCCTCTGCTCGGGGCACCTCGGGGCAGGGACGCCCTGGGCATTTCTCCGGGAGGGCATGGAGCACAGAATTTTGATCCACCCCAGACTTGGCTGTTTCGCCGAGGCCTGGACGTTTTTCTATTATTTTCGGCCTCCCGGGGCCCTTCCCGGGCCTCGGGCCCTTCAAAAAAACGACTCAGGATGAGAAGCCGGTCCCGGGGAAGGGGTGCGGACCTTTGGGGGTCGACGTTGTGAAACAAAAAAACCAGAATTGATCCACCCCAGACGTGTTTGTTTCGCCGAAGCCTGGAAACATGCGTGGCGTATCCGTAAATCCACGGTCGTGTCACGTGGTGTTCATGGGCTCGACGAGCCAACCGAATTTGGGGTTGATCAAGTGTGGGGCCGATCCGTTTCTCAAGACATCCGCGCCGTCTCTTGAGCCGCTCCAGTTCGGGTATAGCCAGGGCCCTGGGTAAGGGGACTCGGTTAGTGGTAGGGCCCTGGGGCCCCTCAATTGGCCAGATTCACCAAACCAGGTTTGCCGTAACTGGTGTTTTTTTGGGTGACGGCAGTTCGGGTTAGTGGAAATGGGGCGGGGGGGCGCCCCCGGTACAAATCACTAAACCAGGTTCCATTAAACCCAGTTCTGCCAACGCCCGACCAGTTCGCCATCGCGGACCGGGTGGAGGTGCGGGACGGCGAGGGGGAGCCGTGGAGGCCTCGCGCGGGGGCGGGGGGGCCGTGCGGAGCGGGTGTCTCGCGCGTCGCTCGGGAGCAGAGGTCGGCCCAGAGCTTGCCCGAGGGCCTCCGCAGCGGCCCGCGGCCCCGGAGGTGCACGGCATGGCGTGGGCCTCGGTCTGCGAGCCACGGGGGCGGCAAAGAGGGGGGTGATGACTAGGGGGGGGGGGGGATATCATGGCGGGGGCCATGAGACTTTCCCAGATTTCATGGCGCCTCTATTATTTCATTACGTCCCTGGCCCCCCCGCTGGGCCGCGCACATGCCGCCGGTCATGATTTGCACTCCCCCCCTCTTGGACACCCCCCTCTTGGCCGCTCCCGAGAGCCACGGGGCGTGGTCCAGCAGGTGCGTGTTGCCGAGGGCCCCCTCGGCCACACGAGTTCCAACTGCCCGTCCCTCGCGGCTGGCGCTCGCTCCTCTGCTCTCCGCCTCGCGCCGTGCGGGGGGCCGGTCGCCGCGGCCGGAGGCCGGACGTGGCCCGGGAGATTCGCGCGGGGAGGGGCCCCATGGGCACGTCTGGGGGTCGATTCTGACCAGAGTTCTGGGCGGCGGCAGACTGGAGTTACGAGCTTCCTGCACAGCGGAGTTTGGCAGACCTCCTGCCCCGACACGTCGATTGGCGGATTGACCATTTTCGGTTCGCGAGAGGGCGTCGCGGCCGTCATTTTTGCGGGTCCAGGTCCGTCGGTTTCGGTCCTGGGCCGTTTTTACGAACGGGTGGTTTGCTGAAGGGAGGTTTGTCCACCGCCGAGAAAAGCGCCCTGGATGGAAGGCTTCCGAGGCACAAGCGGAGGCGGTTCCTGAGGGGCCAGCATCCCAAGTGCGGCGAGAGCGCGACGATGATCGCGAGCTGGCCGATCTCTCGTAGAGCGCTCACCACACAGAGTGCCCACGTCTGTATAGCCCTGGCACGGGGCCGCATTTCGCTCGCTGGTTCCTTTCGTGCGCCTCCTCGCAGGAGGTCTCAGGCGAAACGCCCGGCCCGCCCTTTCGACCGGCCTCGGCGTGCGACAGGGAGACGTTACCTCCACGGAAAGGGAGGGTGAGGAGACGGAGGAGGAGGGGGAGGAGGAGGAGGAGGGGGAGGAGGAGGAGGGTGAGCAGGAGGAAGAGGAGGAGGAGGAGGAGAAGGAGGAGGAGGAGGAGGAGGAGGAGGAGGAGGAGGGGGGGGATGCTCCTCGGGCCCGGTGTCTGCCGTGCTCCCTCGCCCGCGCGGCAGCGCGCGCCCGCTCTCGGCCTGCCGCGGCTGTGCTCCGGGCGCGCGGCGCCCTCGCCCCCGCGGTGGCGAGCACGGAGTGGGCCGCAGGCCGAGAGGCTGACACCAGCACCAGTATCGGTGCTGTGCCTCCACCGAGGGGAGGAAGCTCCCGATCTCGGTGATGGTGGTGATGTTCTGGAAGATCCGAGGTGACCGAAACATTGCCACCAGCACCGAGATCGAGGATCATCTCCCCCCTGTGGAGGCAGCCCCCCTGTGTTGGTGTTGGCGAAAATTTCCAGGCCTCCAAGTGGGGGGGGGAGGCGAGAAGGAGCAGGCCTGCCCAGACGGCTCGGAAGCCCCCCCCGGCCTTCCGAGGGGTCTCTCCTCGCTCGCCGCCGATCCTGATCTTAGGTCGGGCATGTCCTCCTGCAGGCGGATTCTGGACGAAACATAAAAATACCCCCAGAATAAATATTCAAACAATGCCCACAAATACTAAACAAAATGTCCCCAGACAAATATTTGTTACTAGTTCTGAGCATTCCCCCTGTAGAGGGACAGGCCCGACTGAATCCTAATCTTTAGGTCGCCCCAGCAGAGATGGCGCGAAGCGAGCCGCACAGCGGCGCGCCGCGGCCGAGGCCGCTGGAGCCGGAAGCAAAACCGCGGGGCGCGCTGCGCGGATGTCGGCAGCCCAGCTGCTTCCCATGGATTTTGGCGGCGCGCACAGGGGGGTAGGGGGAGGGGGGAAGGCTTCTTAGAAGCACCCCTGCTTCTTAGAAGGCGCGGGCCTTGTCTACAAATGTAAGGCCCTTCGCCTTCTAAGAAGCAGCCTCCTTCTAAGCAGCCTTCCTCCCTGCCCCTACCCCCCTCTGCGCGCCGCCAAGGACTGGGAGCAGCAGATGGAGGTGGCGTTCTTGTGCCATGTTCAGTATCGTTTGAACTATCCCCATCCCCATCCCCATCCCCGTCGAGATCCCCACCAGATTACCACCCCAGTTGGGGATACACCCCTCGAAACCCGAAGGGAACGACCTATATCCCCTATCTAGGGGGTCAATCGGCCAGTGGGGCCCAGGCCACGCCGCTGGGGATGAGGACCAGTTAAACGATACTCACATCTGGATGCGTGGAGGTGTTTGCCTGCTGCCAGTTTCACCAGAGGGAACAAAAATACTACTACCACCAGCCAGGGGGGGTGGCTGTCCCACCCTTTCGAGCCGGTACCACCTCGTTGCGGGCATGCCTCCAGAGAGTTCCCGGAAGGAGGTGCCGCCAGCTCGAGAGGAGGGAGTGCCCCCCCCTAGCTGGTGGTAATGTTTTTGTTGTGTGTCTCTCGTTACTCTCACGACCGCACCGCCTCCTGGGTACGGTGCCACCCTTGGCACTACGCTTAAGTCGGGCTTGTCCCTCTACAGTGGGAATATTCCAACATAGTCAAACAATAGTCTGGAAACGATTTTTTATATGTCTTAATTTTCTTTCATTTTTCGTCCACAATCCGCCTGTGGGGGGACACGCCCGACCTAACACTACGCGGGGAGGACCTCCTACCAGCGAAATTGATGTGCTCAAGGACGACGCTGGTGCAGTCGCGCATCTCCCGGAGTCTGGCGCGGTGCGGCGCATCCCAGGTGTAGGCGCCTGTACCTCGGTTGCGCGGTTTGAGGCAATGGTCCGGGTGTTGGGCACTGTGATGAGATACCCGAGGATTCGCGCTTGCTGATTGTTCGGAGGTTGATAGACCTCCTACTCTGACACGTCGATTAGCGAATTGGCCGTTTTCGGTTCGCGAGAGGGCGTCGCGGCCGTCATTTTTGCGGGTCCAGGTCCGTCGGTTTCGGTCCTAGCCGTTTTCACTAAAGGGTGGTTGGCTGAAGGGAGGTCTGTCCATCGCCGATGTCCTTGTTCTTTGTCTAAGACAAGCTTGATCGTACTGAAAAAAGGATGGTTCGGTTGTCGGTGTACCTATCAGTGCCCCTTGTGTATTTGCCCCTTGCCTTGGCGACAGTTTTACAGTGATGGGTACACACAAGAAGTGTACCCAGCTGCCTCCACTGAGCAGGTGTTTCGAAGAGGGTGTTGTGGGCGTGTTTGCAATGACGGCATCGTCTGACTCGATTGGTGCAAGCCGCATTCGATCGGCATTGGTTGAGTGAGGCCCGCATCGCGGTACTACCTATCAGTCTGTACGATGTGCATGGTCGCGCGCGTATGTATTTGAGTGTGGCTGTGTGTCAGAGGTATACCCCTGACCCTTGGGTATGTTGCCCACCTGGTCTGACGCCCCTGGCCCTACCTCTCGCACTCCTGGGCCCGCTGGTCTGGATTCCGCTGCGCGTCACCCGCGTGATGTCTATCCACGAGCGTGGCAGCGTTGCACTAGACGAACGGTGTGCTTGTGTGCGGCGAAGAGAGGAATAGTCAGGGAGAGAGAGAGGGGGGGAGAGGGTGAGAGTGAGACAGAAAGAGAGAGAGAGAGGGAGAGGAGAAAACAGAGAAAGAGAGATAGAGAGAGAGAGAAAGAGAGAGAAAACGAGAGCGCGTAGTTGTGTGTATATGTGTGTCGACTCGGCCGCTTTAGACGCGCGTGCGTTGCTGCTGTTTCCAGTTCTCCGCCCAATCGCTGCGCGCGGGGCCGCGACGCCAACAACTGTATGTGTATGCGTGTGTGTGTGTATGTGTGTGTGTGCGTGGGTTTGTGTGTGTGTGTGTGTCTGCGTGCGTGCGTGCGTGCGTGCGTGGGGTGGTGGGGGGGGGGGGGTCCGCGCGCCTCCCTCGACCTTTGCTTGACCTCGCCGCGCACGACGCCACAAAGTGTGTGTCTGTGGTGTGTGCGTGTGTGTTCTCACCGCGGGCGGTTTCATTGGAACCGTTTCTGGTCCCTCATTCGTTTTGTGTTTTGAGTGATTCGTCAATGCCCGATGCCGGCTGGCACCACGATCCGTCGCACGAGGGATTCCGCATGCGACATTGCAGCGCCTTCGTCTGTTGCCTCTGGGCGTCGGCCTCTCGCCAATCTGCAGCAGTGTGTGCGTGTAAGTGTCCGCGCGTGTACGTCTGTGTGTGTGTTGTGTGTGTGTGTGTCCGCTTACGCGTGTGGCTGTGTGTGTGTTGTTCGCGTTTGTTTATGTGTAAGCTTGCGTGAGTGTGTGCTTATCTCTCTCTCTCTCTCTCTCCGTCTTTCTCGCTCTCTCTCCCTCCGAGGGGTTCGGCTCGAGGGCGCGAGGATAGCCGTGCAGCGCGACTCACAAAGTTTTGCCTGTGGTGCTTGCGCTTCTGAACTGCGCCGCGCTCCGGCACACCGCGCTCCCGCGTCCCTGCGAGGGCGGGCGCGGGGACGGGGGCAGCGGGGACAGGTCGAGAGGTCAGCGGGCCCCTGCATCGCACAGTGTGGTTTGTCCGAGCACCGCTGATGCGTCGTAAACATGCGGCTTGATGCCATCTCCATCGGATCTGACAGAACCAGCAAGCATTGCATGGAAGATTCCTGCACATCTCAGCGGGCATCAAGGCTTGAGGTTGAACGGATGGGGGAGCAAGGGGGGCGCAGCGCAGGCATGGCATCATCGTCTCCTTGTGGCCAATCATGGTGAAGGCGCCTCGCACTTGCATGGGAGGTATGTTACGAGAGAAATTGAGAGGGCGGTGCTGAAGAGGCAAGAATTGGACTTTCGTGCAGACTTGGATGTCCGGAAGAGGGGGACCCGAGGAGTATGTTTCAAGACGAGGGGGGATGCTCCCCCCCAGGCGTGTGGGTCTCATTGCAACCAGAGCGGCCACTTTACAGCCAGATAGGGCACTTTACAACCAGCACGGGTTTTCCCAGAGGGCATTTTTACAATCAGGAAGGCCATGCTACAGCAAGGAGAGTAAACGCACAAACTTTCGCTGGGTCCACGTATGGGAGACTTTCGCTCTCTGAAGCGCGTTGGTTCTAAAGTGACCCGTCTGAAGCGAGAATAGCGAATTCCTAATGGGATCAACCGGAATCATTGGCACCCTTCCCTATGGGATCTTGTTGGCACCAGATGAATCCCATTGGTATCCAACAAGATTCCTCGATATCGGTCCTACGGGTGTCCTATTGGGATCCGGTAGGGATGCCTTCTATTTAAACCCGTTGGGGCCCTTCCTAACGGAAACTGATTGGACACCCCACTAGATTACAATCGAAAAACCTTCCTATTGAAATGCTGCGGGAAACGCATTCGGGGTGCTACATGGAAGCCCGGGGGGTGCTACATTTGGAACGCATTCGCATTCGGGGTATTCTTGTGGGTTCTCATTTGAAACCAATACGAACGGTCTTTTTTGCAATCCCATCAGATCCATATGCGATTACGAAGGATATCGCATTGGAATCCAATCGGAATCCTTCCTTTTCGATCCACACGGGCATACTTTTGGAATCCCACTAGGACCCAACTGTAACTCAACAGAAACTGGTCACATTTGACTTACAGTTTGCCCCGATTGGCGTCCGATTGTGACATTTGGTGATGCCACAAAAAAGGCTATTGGAACCCAGTTGAGATCCAATAGGGACCCTCCCGCTACGGGCTGGTTACAGGCCTGGGCGGCTTGCCATGCCCTAAATTTACATAGTTTTTTTTTGAACGTCATAACCTGTGCTTGAACATCCTGCATCTTGTGGAAATAGAGAACAGTAAGCGTTTGCCGCAAAGACACAGAGGAACACGCGCGCCCCCAGGAAAACGGAAATGTGGCTAAGAAGTCGTTGGTACAATTCTTGCCAATATTTTCGGGCTTCATGTTTTGCATTATAGGCATCTTTTGACCTCGCTTCTCATCGCCTGGCAACGACGCACCCGTATGTTCTCGCATCTCCGGAAGCATGCGCATCCAGGAAAGCGGAAATGCGGCCGAGAAACTTTTGGTATGTGTGTTGCCAGTACGTGTTGATTTCACACAGTTGTTTGTTGCATCGGAGTCCATGTTTGTCATCACGCCTCATCGTTTGGCAGGAACAAGCAATCAGTATGGAACATTATGTTTTTCACAATTGCGGAAGCATGCGTACCCAGGGGGTGGACATGTTGCCAGGAAACCGATGGTAACGTTCTAGCCGATACATGTGGGTTTCAATGTGCCTGTTTGGCCTCACAGTCAATTTTGATCCTCGGGCCTCATCGTTTGGCAATCGCAGAACCGTAGGTTTTCGCAGTCGCGTTCGCATGCGTACCCAGGAGGGCGGACATGTGGAAACGAAGTCGACGGTACCATTCTAGCCAATACGTGCGGATTTCAATTTGCGGTTGCTTGGTATCAGACGATGTTTGTCCTCGCGCCTGATCGTCTGACGACCCCGAGAAACAAACCAAGGTATGTTTTCGAAGTTTTGGGCACGCGTGCCCAGGAGGGGGGAAATGTGGCCAAGAAATCGATGATAACAGTCATGCCACGACGTGAGGATGTCAATTTGTTTTTTTTCCGTCCTCACAGACAACTTTCGTCCTCGCGCTTCATCGTCTGACAATCGAAAAACCGCAGTTTTTTTCGCATTCGCGGAATCATGCGTACCCAGGAGGGCAGAAACGTGGCCAACGCGTGTGGACATCACATTGTATGTTGCATCGCGGGCCATGGTTGTCGTCGCGCCCCATCGTCTGGCAATCGCAAATCCGATTGTTTGCGCAAATGCGGAAACATGCGTGCCCAGGAGGGTGGAACGTGCCGAAGAACTCGCTGGTTAAGTTCTAGCCAATGCATGCGGATTGCAATTTGTTCTGGTGGCACCGCAAGCAGTTTTGACTCTCACTTTGCAGCCGTTTCGGAACGCTCAGGCGCTCGGAAGCCTTTGTAAAGCGCCCAGGCGCTCAAAGCGCCCAGGCGCTCAGAAGCTTCTGCAAAGAGCCCAGGCGCTCATACGCTCTGCAGAGCGCTCACGCGCTCAGAAGCCTCCTGCAGAGCGCCCAGAAGCCTCTGCAAATCGCTTGGGCGCTCAGCAGCCTCTGCAGAGGGCTCAGGTGCTCAGAAGCCTCTGCAGAGCGCTCATGCGCTCATAACGCTTCTGCAGGACGCTCAGGCGCCCAGAAGTCTCTGCAGAGCGCTCAGGCGCGCAAGTTCCTTTGCGAAACGTTCAGGCGTTCAGAAGTCTCTGCAAAGCGCTCAGGCGCCCAGGTGCCTCTGCGGAGCGCCCGCTCAGAAGAAATCGGAAGCCCCTGCAGAGCGCGCGCGCGCTTCTGAAGGCTGGTTGTAAAGTGACCGTTTTGGTTGCAAAGAGCCTGGTTTGGGTTGTATAGTGGTCGATCTGGTGATAAAGATGCTGTTCTGGTGGTAAAGTGGTCGTCCTCAAAGGGAATCCAAGAAATTCGATCCGTTTTTGGTTGTAAAATCAATTATATCGGTTGTAAAGTGTCGTTCGAGTTATGCAGAGACCGACTCTGCCCCCCCCACTGATCCACCAGGAGGGGGCTCTGCTGTCCCCGAATCTCCCGTCGTCCATTTGGAGTCATCCCCTTTTCTCTCCCGCTCGCAGCCGGCGCCACCTCAAGCACTGCCCGTGGCTGCATCGTCGACGCGCTTCGTCCCACCGAGGTGGACGGCCGCGAGGAGGGCCTGAACTTCAACCTCATTAGGAAAGAGGCGCCTTGCCCCTTGCCCCGCCCGCGTCTTGCAATGTGTCCCTCCCCCTTTCCTCCCTGGTTCCCTTTGTCGTCCTCAACGCCACCGTCTAATTATCCCTCCCGTTTTTTTTGTTATTGTTCTGATTGTTTAATTTGCATGTGTACGCGCATGGCTAGTTCATACATGTGTACACATGCATATATACATATACATGTGTACATGTGTTGGTCCATGTGGCATTCCACCATCAGAGTGAAGGGGGCCGAATGATCATTCATTGCCCTTGGGTGCGTGACTGTATATGGAATTCGTTGTGAAAAGCATGTTTATTGCGTTTTGTTGTTGTTGATTGTTTTGTTTGTTTGTTTGTTTGTCAGTTGTTTGTTGTTTGTTGTGTGTTGTCGTCGTCCCACCCGCGACCCACCCGCGACCCACCCCGCAACCCATCCCGCGACCGATCCGCAACCCACCCCGCGACCGACCCGCGACCCAATCCGCGACCCATCCGCGACCCACCCCGCGACCCACCCGCGACCCACCCGCGACCCACCCGCCACCCACCCCGCGACCCACCCCTGACCCACCACGCGATCCATCCGCGACCCATCCGCGACCCACCCGCGACCCACGCCGCGACCCATCCTCAAGGTATGGAAGAACACCCGGACCCGCCAATTGACGTTTATTAAACGGCAGTGGGCGTTGACCAAACAGCCTTGCCCAGTTCGATACATTTTTTGTGTGCGTTTACGAACCGGTTTCGCTTGTCGGGGTGGTTATTATGGGGTGCATTTCCTGCCCTCTACACCCGCGACCCAACAATGACCCACCCGCGACCCTTTTGCGACCCACCACGCGACTCACCCGCAACGCACCCACATTGGTTTAACGACAAATTCGGCGCCTGCGGCGGGCTGGCTGCCTAAGTTGTGAAACGTTGGTGCCCGCGGCGGGCTTCTACGGAGTCTCGTAAACTGCCGACGTCTCCACCGCCCCCTCACTCTTATCCGCATCTGCGGGGTGCTACGTATGCTATTTCTCGTCCGATCCTTGCCTACGTTTCCACTCACCCCTTGCTCCTCTGCCTGGCTTCCGTTCTCTTCTCGTCCCCACGTCCCCTCTTTCTGGCCGTGCTCCTCTGCTTCCCCCTTCCGTATTCTCTCTTGCATATTTCCACCCCTGCTCCATGATCCCTCCCTCCCTCCCGGCCCCCATCCACCATCAGCCTTGATCTCCTCATCCCTCTCATCCTTCCTACTCTCTCCTGAACCCACTAGGAGTCGTGCCCAATGCGATGTTGTCGAGGGGGTCGGCGTCGAGGGGCTCGGCAAGACGAGAGCGCCGACCAACCTTGCCCTTGTTTTGTGGCGCCCTGATTGACTCGCACCGCAGCGCCCTCTGCTCGGGTTCGCTTCTTGATCCCATCGCGCCCATGATGGCTCATGAGAAAGAGATCGATCGAACGAACACCAGGGCCTGCCTGAGACCAGGTGGGCGATGCCGTAGCATCCAGGTGCTTCGGCGTGTGGTGAGCCGCTCGTGCGAGACATCTGAACCATTATGTCAGACGAGGGGGAGGAGGAGGAGGAGGAGGAGGAGGAGGAGGAGGAGGAGGAGAATGGAGGAGGAGGAGGAGGAGGAGAGGAGGAGGAGGAGGAGGGGGGAGGAGGGAGGAGGATTAGGAGGAGGAGGAGAGGAGGAGGAGGAGGAGGAGGAGGAGGAGGAGGAGGAGGAGGAGGAGGGATGAGGAATCCTTGTAGTCGATGGCGTCGTCGTGTGTGGGAGGAGCGGGGGGGGGGTAGGGCGGAGGCGGGGGCCCAGCCCACGTGCTCGAGCGCCGTTGCTGGCCCCTCTCCCCTCCTCATCCCTCCCCCCTCCTCCTGCCCCTCCTCCTCCCCCTCCTCCTGCTCCTCCTCCTCCTCCTCCTCCTCCTCCTCCTCCTCCTCGTCTCCCCAGGGGATGCCGCCGCGGCCCACCTGCGAAAGCCGTGGCTCCGGGCCTCCCCTCGCGGGGGCGGAGCAGGTGAGGTCGGAGGATCTCGCCCCGCATCGCCGATGCTTCGGCGATGCGGCTCGGCGTGCAGCCCGATGTCTTGAGCTCCGACGGCGACGGCGAATCTTCGACGTCGCTGCGTCGGCCATGCGTCGGCGCTGCGGCGCGATGCTCTGGCCCCATCTGCCCGGACCCCCTGTGGGGAGGCCTCCAGCAGGGCTGCCTGCCGAGGGGACGAGCACACGGATGCAGGCGCGTGGCTTCGCGACGGGCTGCATGTTTGGTGGGCTACGTGCCCTCCCCACGCCCACGTCCCAGGTCCACGGTCTGCAATCCAGGGTAGCGCGTGCTTGAGCCTGGTGCCTGCGCAGATCTCCGACACTTGGCCCCGCCTTCGCTTGGGGCTGCCCACGCTGCGTCGATTTGCGATGGGTTGGGGCTCCTCTCGACGATCGACGCTCACCCCGTCCGCTGTCTCTCACTGGTCGCCAAGGGAAGCAGGGCATGCAGCAAAAACGTGGCCTCGGTGGCCAGGAATTTCCCCGGATCCCCGCTCTGGCTCCCCGTGGGTGCTGGGCGCGAGCCAGGGTGTGGATAAAATGTCGCTCGCCTATCCTCTCCCGTCTCCCCCACCGCCGCTTCCCCGTCCATTTTTTTCCCTCGGGGCCCCTCGTCTCCTCTGCGGGCCCTCGTCCCTCGCTGCCCCTCCTCCCCTCCCCTCCGCAGCCCCCCCCCTCGCCAGAGCGTCTCGCTGGACGGAGGGCCTCCGCCCCCCTGGCTCTTGGCATCGCTCGGACGTGTGCATTTTTTCTTCGGTGGGGACCATCGAGGAGCATCCTCGATCAGCTGGCGAAAAAAACACGCACGAAACAGAAAAAAGCACAGGGAATGGACGTCCGAGCGATGGCGCGGGCTCCTCACCACAGCCTCCCTCCCTCCTCCTCCCAGGCTCGGCAGTGCCGCTGCAGCAGGCCTACTGCAGTTCCGCGCCTCGTCGACCGGCGGCGACCCCACCGCCGGCGCTCAGCGTGGGGCGCTGCCGCTCTGGCATGCCTATACGGTAGGTTCGTGTGTCGTGTCGACCGGCGGCGACCCCGCCGCCGGCGTTGAGCGTTGAGCGCCGCCCGCGACCCGGAATTGGTCGATGTTGAACGATCGGGCGTTTCGGAAACGACCGATCTTTCGTGGTTGAACCATCCCCGCCAGTGTCGGGATTCAGCCTCGAAGTCGGCGCGACACGGCGCGAGCCTGGCGCATGAAGTCTCCCGCCCTGAGCATCGGCTCATGGGAGAGAGAGGGTCAACGCCCATCCTTTTTTTTTTTTTTTTTTTTTTTTTCTCCCCCAGTTCCTCAGGTTTGCTCAGGTTCCTCAGGTTTGCTCAAATGCCGGCGTGCCGAATGCATGCTGCCAGTTCCTCAGGTTTGCTCAAATGCGTGCCAAATACATGCTGTCGTGTCCAAGCCTGCCGTCGTAACCAAGAATATCCGCACTGCATCCGACCTGTCCCTTCAGGGGCAACGATGGGGGCATGGGCAAAGGGGGGGGATGCATCGACCCCAACCGCCCACTGATCGCCGATACGGGGCCATCAGGCCCCAACCTTCCCAGGCAGGTGCGGATTCGCAGTCGGTGCCCAGCGCCAATCTATCGGCGATGTGTCTCGAAGAAGAACACGCCAGAAACATAAACTGTTGGCGCTCCGCGCGGATTGCTTGGGTCCGCGCTGGGGACCCCCCCCGGCGCGCTCTGCGCGCCAGGGAGGGGGGTCCGGCGCAGATCCTAGAACTCCGCGCGGAGCCACAAAAGCTTATGTTTATTCCGTTGTTCCTCCTTCTGGTATCGCCGTTTCCAGGTCGGTGTGCCCTCCCTGCGCCAGTCCCCCCCCCATCGTTGCCCCCCATCCCTGGCCCCCCCGCCGCTGGCCCTGCGCAGGGCTCCTCGGACGACGGCAGGGAGACGAAGGAGGGCCTCGCGGAGGCGACCGCTCGCTCACGCGCGGGGGGGGCCAGTCGACCCCCGCAGGCGAGGAGGGCGAAGCCCTCCCCCTCCTCCCCCTCCTCCCCCTCCCCCTCCTCCACCCTCCTCCTCCACCCTCCTCCTCCTGCCTCCTCCCTCCTGCCTCCTCCTCCTCTTCTCCTCCTCCTCCTCCTCCTCCTCCCTCCTCCTATCCTTCCCCTCCCCCTCCTCCCCCTCGCCCTCCCCTTCCTCTCCCTACTCCTCCCCCCCCTCCTCCTCCCCCTCCTCATCCCCCTCCTCCTCCCCCTCTCTGGATAAGCTCCCCCGGTGGCGTCCAGGGAGCCCCGCTCACGCGGCGGCCGGCCCAGCGCGCGGGGGCCAGCGCGTGCGCGTGGGGGGGCCTGGGGACGGCAGACGCCGCCGTGCGAGAGAGAGAGAGAGAGATTGCAAAGTTTAAGTCGGGCCTGTCCCTCTACAGGAGGAACCGTAAGATTGTCTGGGGACGATTGTTCCAGTATTCTTCGATCAGTTTTGATAAGTTGTTGATTATTGGTCACTTTTGGTGCAACATCCGCCTGTAGGGGGACATGCCCGACCTCAGGCGAAGTCAAGGAGTCCGAGACGGGCATGTGCACATAACAACGGGACCAGTCTGCGGGGACTTCGGCGGGCGGCGCATGTGGATGTACTCGGGCCTTGGGGGAGGGGCCAAGTCTCTCGATGTCCACCGCCTGCCGAAGGCCCCGAAGGCCCGCCCCGCAGGCGGTGGTTCCTCCCCGCTTCGCAGCAGGGAGGAGGTGGAGGAGGGCGAGGAGGGCACATGGATCCGAGGAGGGGGGCGGGCGAGGGTGCGGAGCGAGAAGGCTCCGACCCATGACAGCGCCAACAGTTTGTTCCCCATGTCGTTCGGGGGCGCCCAAGACCACCTTGAGTAACTAGAAGGACCCCTGACCCTGGTAACGCTGAAGACGTGGCCTCACTTAGGTCCCCGTCTCTGCATCAGGGAGAATCGTTCTGGGCGGTCTCCTCCGACGCGTCCGCAGAACAGATCACCCATCCCTACATATGTGCTCTGCTCTCCCCCCACTTGGGTCCCCTCCCACGGGGTCCAGGGTGCTCTTGCTGCTCATCATGCCAGGGGGGTGCGGACCAGGGGCGTGCGGATGCCGTTGCCGGGCCTGCGCCACCTCCCCGATGCCGCGCCGCCACCCCTCCCCGTGCTCCTCGCCGCACATCCCTCGGGCCGCCCGGCCGCCCCCCGCCCACGGCGCGTGCCTCGGGCCGTGCTCCGGCGGCCTCCGCCGGCCGCGGCGGGCGTGCTGAGCGGCTGCGCTGCGCCCAGCGAGCGCCGCCTCTGTGCCGAGCTCCGACCGGGCTCGGCCACGCTCTTTGGCTCGCGGCGCGGGCGGTCGCGCGGCGCGTCAGGGTCCAGACTGGGGCGCCACTGGTCGCCACCGGCCATTGGCCACCAGCAGATGACGCGTGTGCAGATGGCGCCATTGGTCGCCAGCAGGGGTGCCACGGCAGCCGCCTCGCAGTCTTCGCCGGATGGGCGCTCTCCCAGGGTGGCGGCGCGGAAGCGCGAAGATGGGTGCGCCTTGAGCTCGGCACAGCGCGGGGCACGGGAGTCTGGCGACCCAGAGGGTAGGCACAGGGAGCGGGCCAGGTATTCATTCGACTCCTTGAATTGACCCTCCAGCTCACCCTCGAGGCACCTCAGTCTTTATATATATATATATATATATATATATATAGATGTATGTATGCAGGTATGTATGCAGGTATGTCTGTATGTATGTGTGTATATATATATATATACGTAGCACCCCGCAGATCCGGACAAGAGTGACGGGGGCGGTGGGGACGTCGGCAGTTTGCGAGACTCTGGAGACGCCCGCCGCAGGCGCCAAAGTTTCACAAATTACGCAACGAGATCGCCGCAGGCGCAGATTTTTTCGTAAACAACTGTGGGTACCCCGCGGGTGGGTCGCAAACGGGTCGCGGGTGGGTCGCGGGTGGGTCGCAAATGGGTCGCGGGTGGGTCGTTGTTGGGTGGCGGGTGGGTCGCAGGTGGGTCGCGGGTGTAGAGGGCAGAAAATCCACCCCATACTAATCACTCTCCGACAAGCGAAGCCGTTCAGTAGATGCACACAAGTAAAGAATCGAACATAGCAGGGCTGTTCAGTCAACGCCCACTGCCGTTTAGTAAACATCAATTGTCGGGTCCGGGTGCTTTTTCCTCCCTTGAGGGTGGGTCGCGGGGTGGGTCGCGGGTGGGTCGCGGGGGGGGTCGCGGGTGGGTCGCGGATGGGCCGCGGATGGGTCGCGGGGTAGGTCGTGGGTGGGTCGCGGGTGGGTCGCCGGGTGGGTCGCGGGTGGGTCATGGATTGGGTCGCGGGTGGGTTGCGCGGTGGGTCGCGGGGTGGGTTGCGACGTGGTTCGCGGGGTGGGTCGCGGGTGGGTGGCGGGTGGGACGACGACGACAACAAACAACAACAACAACACCAACAACAACAATTACAACATCAACAACAATAACAATAACAATACCAACAACAACAATAAGAACAGCAGCAACAACAACAGCAACAACACCAACACCAACACCAACACCAGTAACAACAACAGCAACAACAACAACAACACCAACAACAACACCAACAACGACACCAACACCAACAACAGCAACAACAACAGCAGCAACAACAATCATTTTAGGACTGCTCGCCCTTATCTGCTCGAGTGTCCCATAATGCGTATTTCCCAAACCCTCCATACCCGCCCTCTTCGTCTTCGATCGATCCCCTTTTGGGGGTATATGTTCTTCCCTGCAGGCCAGGCCCCGGCAAGCGGCCGGGCGGCCGCGGACCGTCGGCCTGGCCAGCGGCGGCGCTGATCGGCGGGGCGGCCGCGGACCGTCGACCCGACCCCAAGAGGCACGGACAGGAGACCGACGACGACGACGACGACGACGACGACGACGACGACGGCGACGGCGACGGCGACGGCGACGGCGACGGCGACGGCGACGGCGACGGCGACGGCGACGGCGGCGACGGCGACGGCGACGGCGACGGCGACGACTACGAAGAGCGAAAGCGAGAGCGAGAGAAAGCGAGAGGGAGAGCGAGAGCGACAGCAGGGCCACGAAGGACACGAAGTAGGCCACGAAGAGCGACAGCGGGGACACGAAGGGAATACGTATGGGGCCACGAAGAGCGCGAACGAGCGGGGCCACGAAGAGCAGATAATGCAGGGCCACATAAAGAAACGATGGAGCCACCGAGGGTAGCAACTGGGCCACGTAGGACCGTGAGGGGGCCACGAGCGGCGACAGCAGGGCCACGAAGGGCATGCACATGGGCCCACAACGGGCGCGAACGAGCGGGGGCCACGAAGGGCATACGTATGTTGGGCCGCGGAGGGCAAGGACGGGGCCACTGAGGGCAGCAACGGGGCCACGAAGGGCAGCGAGGGGGCCACGAAGAGCGACAGCGGGGCCACGAAGGGCATGCATATGGGGCCACCACGGGCGCGAACGAGCGGGGGCCACGAAGGGCATACATATATGGGGCCACGCAGGGCAGCGAGGGGGCCACGATGGGCTGCGACGGGGCCACGACGGGGAGCGAGGAGGCCACGAAGGGTTGCAACGGGGCCACGAAGGGCTGCAACGGGGCCACGAACGGAAGGCGAGGGGGCCACGAAGGGCTGCAACGGGGCCACGAAACAAAGCGAGGGGGCCACGAAGGGCTGCAACGGGGCCACGAAGGGCAGCGAGGAGGCCACAAGGGGCTGCAACGGGGCCACGAAACAAAGCGAAGGGGTCACGAAGGACTGCAGCGGGGCCACGAAACAAAGCGAGGGGGCCACGAACAACTGCTGCGGGGCCACGAAGGGCAGCGAGATCCCGAGGTCAAGGTCATCTGTGAGGGAGTCCTAAGCGTGAACGCGACTCCTGGGTGCCTGGGTGTCGGAAAAGCGCGGCGCTTGAGTAAATTGAGCGAAATTCCAACGCAAGGACGCTATTCGTCAGTAAATGGCAAGCAATTCCTCCAGCGAGAGCGCGACTCCAGAGCGCCGGGAGAGCGATTCCTGAATACATTGTAAGGAAGTAAGAAAGTCCCAAGCGAGAGCGCGATTCCTGAATACAATGCGACGAAGTATCGGACGGGAACGGGGGTCCTGGCTAAATTGAGAGAGAGTCTCAGGCGGGAGCCGTTGTTTTTGTAACCTGGGGGCCAGGGGCGCACTTTGAGCATGGTGCGAGCGTCGAATGATACATTTTGATTGAGACAAAGCAGCATGCACCAGTGAGGGGGGATCAACAATAATTATTTCTCAGAATTGAGAATTCAACAACAACAGCCACAACCACAACCACAACCACAACAACAAAAACAACACCAACAACCAACACAACAACAAACACAATCAAACACACAACAACAACACCAACAACAGCAGCAACAAGTCAACGAACATAACTATCACCACGATTTTTTCGGCCACGCACCCAAGAATGACCGTTCGGCCCCTTCACTTTGATATATATATATATATATATATGAATATATATATATATAATGACTAAATACAAATATACAATAATACTGCATTGGCGCTTCGCGCCATGTTCCTTGGTCCTTCATTTTTGGCATGCAGGTGGAATGGCAGGAAGGTCAAGCCGACAATTTAGCGATAACTCCTTGTTGTTTTTTTCCGGCTTCGCCGCTATAATAATGTTATTCGTTATCCCTCATCCATGTTTATTTGTCCTCATTTTCGCCATCCGCATCAGTTTTTTTTTGGCGGAAACTCCTCCTTGGAGAGCTTTTGGGGGCCTCACACAAGTTGTTTCAGGCATTCTTAAGGCCTTCTGGAGGCCTCCTGGGCGTATTCTGGGGGCCTCTGGGGGTTTTCTCGCGTCACCCTGCCTCCAACCGCGGTCTCCCTGAACGACCGGGTCACGATTTGGAATGCTTAGGAGGGCGTCTTGGGACCATCTTGGGCAGCCACGG